GGCGCCGGGTCGTGCGTGCAGGGCCCTGCCTGGTTGGTTAGTCGTGGCAGAAGCAGTGTTTTAGCTTCCCGTGTCCTTGGTGGAGATACCTAACAATGGTTAGGTCGTCACTGAGGCTGAGGCTTGTTGGGGCGGATGCACAACAAGGCCCGGCCAATGGTCCCATTATCTCTCATGATCCTTACCATGTTTAGTAAGTGCAGGCCTCAGGCTGCACAAAAGCGCCCCGAGGCAGCCGGCATGGCATGGGATGAACACCCGAACCATGCACAGACAGGCAGGAGGGTGAGCGCGTGAAGGAACACTACAACTCTTCACCTACCACCTACCAACCTGCACCCAACGTCGACTATCAGCTCCATTTCTGGTGCAATTATCTCGACATATGTACACGTCATCATATATATGGTGTACTAGCTTGCCTTCGGCAGCGGCATTGGCGGGGCTGTCGGGTCTCCGTACATAAGGCAATCCAGAGAAGTCTCCATAAGCTCCAGAACCAAACATAGCCGCGGCGACTCCACACAGGCCGCCAGCAATCGCACAACATTTGGGTGATAACAGCGGCTCAGCACCTAGGTGTATGGATGAAGGGCGATGTACGAAGTCACTGTCAGGAACTGTAGTGCACCAGTAGCATGCACCACTTCGCCACTGCAGGACACATCTGGCTAACTACAAGAGCGGACTTGTGAGGAGTGACATGGTGTGCGCGTGCCCGCACGTTATGCGTGGCGTGGGGGGAGCAAACCCAGCCGCACCTACCCCCAGCCCACCCCCATGCACCCTACCTGCACTTCCTGCGCAAAGCTGGAGGCAAAGGCCTCGATGGGGCAACCCCAGGGCCCGTTGCTGGCCAGAAGCTTCACAGACACTCGCTGTCCCCGGTAAGTACCTTCCACCACTCGACCAAAGGTGCCCTTGCCGCGTACCACCGAGGACAGCTCCACCACATTGCTACCAGTACAGGGAGGAGCACCACCCGCACTGCCGCTGCCACTGCCGCTGACCTCCTCCTCCTTCGAGTGCAGGGGTACGACACCCGTGACGGCACCTGCTGTGGGACTGTTGCTGCTGTCGCCAGCCTCAGCATCAGCACCGGGGTCCACTAACCGCACACGCAGCTCCAGGTTGGGTTGTGGCCGCGTGCCTAGGGTAATGACCACAGCAGCCTGTTCCAGATGCGTCACCACGGTCGGCCTGGTGCCGACCACCTCCTCCTGCTCGCCAGGTTGCACTTCCCCTGGTTCCGCTCCAACTTCTGGTATTGCAGTAGTAGGGGGGTAAGCGGAATAGCCGTACCAGGGAAGGACATGCAAGGGTGAGCGGTTGCATCCAGCAGTGATTAGGCATATTAACCATGCGGCTATAGATGTTGGATGGATGGACAGGCAGCAGCCAGCATCTGGCGGACTCGCCTGACTTGGGAAGGTGGTTACGAGGGGTCGCAAGTGAGGCCCCGCGTCCGCCGCTCCCGTTCTCATAAGCAGTACCAGTAATGTTCAGCTGAGAGGCTGGGCCTGGGCAACTGTTGGCAGATACACACATACGCACATACGTCACATACAACAGCAATGGGGGCTGGGCATGGAACAACTGAGAGCTAGCAGCAGCAGACGTCGCATGAAGGAAAAGTGCAAGCATGACGGCCGGCTTACATGGGTGACCAGCAGCATTTGTTATGACTGGATGAGCGGCTAGGAAGGCATGACTCAAATACACCACCCCACACAAAGGATTGCTACTGCGCCAGTTAGTGATCTAGGGCGGGCTCCCCCTTAAGTCATCCCGTATCACAAACTCGTAGCTACTACGCAAATAGGGCTATGTGTTGCTAGCTTCTCACAAAAGCGTGCATGTGCATGTGTTTTAATGATCTGAGACGCGATAAGGGAAGTGCCGATGGGGGTACACGAGAATAACTTTACCGAAGTGAGCTCCGTAGCCCAGCGACGTCTTATAACCTTTCAATGGAAAACTGTAAACATTGCTTAAATCTTTCAAGGAGATGTTGAATAGAAGCGTGATATCAAGAACCCGTATAAACACGCGGCGCTGTAGTGGAGAAGAATGGCGGGGGGGTGGGGACGACTGGGTGCATATGTGTGTGTGTGCATGTGTGTCTCTGTGTATGCATGTGTGACACCAAGTCTATCTCCCTTACCTTCTCAACTCAAGGCAGCTGTGACCGAAGTTGTTCGTCAAAAAAGAAAGAATGTTCATGATCGCGTGACTGCCGCCAACATCTTTGCAGTATTCCTGCAGCTGCTTCGAGCGCAATGCAGCCGCCACCATCAACGCGACTAGGGACACGGTAACCACGGTCCCTGCATACGTGTTGTGTTTGCGTGCATGAACAGGTCATGGTTATGAGCTCATGTCTGTGTATGACTTAGAGCTCATGTCTGTATGTGTACACGTCGTCTCGTGGTAGGCCTCTGCCCGC